AATAAAAGGCTATCTTCATTTAAGAATGTCCACCATGGAACAGTAGAAATGACTGATTTTATTACCTATCAACCCTTGAGTATATCTTTTTAACATTCTCTTTGATGAAATATCATGCATAGGAAGTAAAGAACTTCCAAGGCATACCAAAATAGATGGCTATCTTGAGAAAGCACATGTACGCAGTTTTTCAAGTTGCAAGTTGGACTGGCTGGTTTTGTTAGTTTTCTACTGGAACACCACTTTTTTCCTTGAAAGAGTGACTGACAACTGTGGTACTGAGACCTGGGTATTTGGCAAACATTTTCTTGAAAATGAATTACTCATCACTACAAGGTGAACAAGTGACAGTATTTGTCGCTAATGATAAAACTGGAGCTTTCAGAGAAAAGTTAAAATTTTGGAAAACCTCTGTCACTGTGAGCTTGACAGTTTCCAAATCCTTAAAGTTAATTTATATGGTTTCAGATTCATACTGCTACTAACTTTTAAGGAACCACCATCACATTTTGACACAGTATCAAAGAAAATTACCTGGAAAGGCTCTTAAAGTACTTTTCTCTCTTCCCAATATATAGACCTGTATGAGACTGTAATTTTTTGTCTACTTCAAGTAAAACAACATATTGCAACAAAATGAATTAGTACATTAAATTAAAAATTCCTCAGTTTTAAATTCTAAGATAGTAAACATGGATAGGAATAGTCCACATAAACACAAACTCTTTGGTGTTCTCAAACATTTTTAAGATTGGGGTCCTAACACCCAAGTTTGAGAACTACTGGCTAACACTCTTCCAGTATAATATATGTAATTCACTAATGAGGGAAACCAAAAGGAAAAAGTAGAGAAGATAGTACTTTGCAAGCTAAAGAGAAACAGGAGTTGGACGACTACTGGTACAGGTTCCAGTCACCATGTCAGATGGGCCGTTAGCACCCACAGTCTATAGAGGCAACATGATGACTTTTGTGATTTGTGGACGCAGCACTGATGGATCCACGTGAGCACGATTCATAGTCAGGGAGCTTGAGCTCAAGCCCTAATTCCACTACTTCCCAGGCATATTATTTTTTGAAGATTTGATGCACTTATTTGCAAAATGGGACATGACTATCCATACCTGCCATTACACGGCAGGCTGCCATAAAGATCAAGCAAGAAGATGTAAGTAATAATAAAAGCTTGTATTTGTTAAGCAAATTCCATAGGTCAGGTATTATGCTTGGTGATTTATTTCCAGAATCTCGATCAAGTTCCACCACTACCAAGAAACAGATACTATAATTTCTTTTTACGGATAAGGAAACTAGCATTAGAGAAGTTAAGTGATTTGCCTTAGGCTAGAAAGCTGGGAGCTGGGAGTTGGGAGTCCAGGTCTGCTAGCGACCCAAACCTATATTCCTCCCACCACTTACAATGCACGAACTCTCCCATCCTGTATTATGACCTTTTTATAAAAACTATTTTCTAGGCAGTAAGAAAAGCAAGTTTCTTTAAACCTGGCTCAGTGCATGACCCTCTTTGCAGTCCTCAGATGTCTATTAGTTACAGGTTAGGGACTTTCCTGGTGGCGCAGTAGATAAGACTCCACGCTCTCAATGCAGGGGGCCCGTGTTCAATCCCTCATCAGGGAACTAGGTCCCACACGCATGCCACAACTAAGGAGCCCGCCTGCCACACCTAAGACCCAGCGCAACCAAAAAAAAAGCTCAGAGATGCTGGCTAATAAAAAGCCAGCCTCAGTCCATGTGAAGTTAACACCAACATCTGGGCAGCTCCTGGGAGTTTGTATGTAACCTCTCACTTGATCATCATACCTTCCACGCTCACTGAAAGTTCAGAGAAACAAACATCTAAATGGTGACTAAGAGAGTCACCGGCACTTAGTACATTGATGTTTTTCAGGACCAACCCTTCAGAAACTCCCAAACACAATATACTTATAATACTGATTGCTTAAAAGTAACACGGCTAATAAAAGTTTTCCCTACCTAGAGTCAGTCAAAAGCAGAGCACTAGACCTGACCCCAAAACCGACCCTTTCCTTTCCTCCATAAAAATAAATAGTATTTTAATATAAACTATTAAAATACCCATCGTGAGCAATATCTTAATTAGAAAATGACATTTTTCAGGATTGACCATAGACCTCAACATAACAGACATTTGGATATTTGCCGGTTCAACTGAGGATACAATTTAGGAAGTCTAAAATATACCAAGGTACCTTTTTTAAAATCCTACTTTCTAAATTTCAACTGTATCCATTACTGCTTAATGTTTCCAGCCTTCACTAGCCTAAGAGAATAGGATTTTCAAGAATCTCCTGAGAAAAACAGCTTCCCAGGGGGGTGGCTCCCCCAAACTCATCTGGGCCCTGAAGGTGCTTGCAACTGACTCAGAAACCCCTCCCTCCCCGAGGGGATTGGCTTCCTCTCCGCCCTCTGCTCTGGGGCGTGACCCCGTCAATCTTCCTGGTTTGCTCTTCCCTTTCCTGGCAAAACATGAAAAGGGAAGCAGCAAGCTGCTGGCTGTTGTCGGGTCTTACGAACCCCTGGGACTGACTTTATTCAATCAGAAGAGTGTTCCCTTAGTAACCAGCTACAATACACACTGATTCTTCTAACCTGCTCCCTCACTGGAAATGTCACCACCTTCTCTTTTTTTGGCCGTGCCGCACGGCTTGCGGTATCTCAGGTGCCCAACCAGGGACTGAATCCAGGCCACGGCAGTGAAAGCCCAGAATCCTAACCACTAGGCCACCAGGGGACTCCCTGCCACCACCTTCTTTTAAGGGAAAATGGTTTTGTTTTTGTTTTGTTTTTTAAATTAATTGAATGAAATCTTCCAGCAATTTCTTTTCTTTCTTTCTTAGACTTCTGGAAGGAGGAGGCCTGCAGCTTGGGGTGTGTTTATGGAAAGAAGACAACCAGAGCCGAGGTGCCAGGCAGTGCAGAGTAGGCTGGGAAGGACAATGGATGCAGCGACAGAATGCTGGGCTCACATCTCCTTACTGACAGCGCGCCTGAACAAGTCACAGACATAATCTCAATGTGCCTCAGTTTCCACGTCCTGATTAAAGGTAAAACCACCATAGGGCTGTTGTGAATTGTTAAATCCACACAAAGCACATTGCCAGGTTCCTCAGAGCGTTCAATAACTACCAGTTGTTTCTGTAGTTATTAATTCTGTAGCTGTAGTTGTTTCTGTAGTTCCATACAGAGCTAAGCAAACAGACAATGACTGATGCTTGAATGGCCACTGACTTGTGTGGACGGCATGAAATCCACACACGAATCCCTACACACGGAAGGAAACTACAGGGTAGGGAAGTGTGGAAATGGACTGGCCCAGGAAACGTGGAAGTGATGGCTACTGACTTAAGCCACATACATTTGGTCTCCTGGAAACTAAAGGTTATTAGCAAGATATTCCTGTGAAAACGCCCATCTCAGGGAAAACAGAACGTCCTCCCTCACTAGTAGCCATTTACCAGTTATTATCAAAGTGAACTGTCAGAATCTTCTTTCACTTCTTTTCTTCCCACCATAGTACCTCTGAGCAATGCCACCCACAAAAAGGCAGGCAGTACCCAGAGGAAGGAGAAATGGGAGGCCTCATCTGAATCAAAGAGATTCACATAATCTAAGATTTACAGAAATAGCATGGGTTTGTCAAATAAACCCCAAAGTGTAGGAATACATAAGCCCTAAGTTAAATACCATCCTTTCTCAAATTTCTGAAAAGACATATTTCTATTTTCAGCCTTTATTTTCTTTAAGATTAGCTGTCACCGTGTAAGACTAATTCAGTGGCATAAACTATCAGACAGAAATAAATTGTCAGGGAGACAGACACATACATATATTTGTCTAGTGGGATAAGAAAAAAAAAAGAATATTCTGATTGGTCAAATAACCAGGTTAATTTACTATAGAAAGGTAGTCTTTATTTTCCAATAGGGTGTATTCACATCTGGAAGATAGCCATTTGTACCAAGTAGATTTGTGACACGAGTCTCACGTAAGACCACAGACGCCTATTTGATATGAGTAACTGACCCAGGGTCAAGACATCTTAAGCTTGAGCTCTGGATCTTTAAAGGAGGCAAAGATGCAATGCTGAGACTGGCGAGAGGAAGAGGAGGAAACAGCTCCTCTCTTTCAGGAAGGAGCCAACAAAAGTATGATATACTTTTCCTTTGGCATCTTTCAACCTCCCACTGCTCCTATCTCTTGGGACTTAGGGGAAGGGAGACTTGATTAAATTAACTCACACACAAGTGTGGTAGCTGTGCTAAACAGAACGAACCTTTCTTGACATGAACGCAGTGTGAGGGTGAGGGAGGGTAGTGGGCACAGTTTGGGGACACCCAGACAACACTACCTGCCCAATGGGTCCCCCCACCTCCATCTGCGTCTGCTCCTAGGTCAGCAGCTCCAGTGTCTCAGATTTTTAGGGATTCTTCTTGTCATCATCTACTTCTGAAATCACAGATTCCCGAAATCTTAAAATCATTTTTCTTGGGAGGGTGTTAAAAGGATATGGGGAGTTGGGAGAGGTTAATTATTTGTAAATCAGTGACCAAAGTGCATGCTGGTCTTCACACAAGTGAAGGGTGACATGTATGTTTGAAACAAAAAAAATCATCACTCTTTCAACTAATTAAAATGCAAGAGTTACTAAAACTTATCTAAACAAACACAAAAGCAAAACAATGGGAGAATGTGGAAGAGAGTTCAGGTTAACAAGTTTCTCTCAGATTCAAAAAACCTACCCTGTTATCAGCTGGGCTGGAGGTACAAATTCTAGGCATTTCACAGTGGCATTTTCCTTAAATGTGACTCCATACCGGGGACTAAAAAGACTTTTATTTTTATTTTTTGCCCTCAGGATCAAGTGTTGGGAGAAGATTATTCTATTGTTCTCTTTATGATCTTACTATACCTTGATCAGGCTGTAATTTAAAAAAAATATATTTTATGAAATGGCTTACCAGATTTTTCAGCAGTGTGGACAGTTCCTTTGTAAGAGTAGAAAACTTGACAAAAGCGGTGCCAAGATCTGGGTTGTCTCGACTTAAAAAATTACTCCCAAACTTATCAAGAACTTGTGCGTAGTTTTCTTCATTTTGTACATGATCTGAAAAGAAGAATAAAAAGGAGTCTGAGCTACTATTTGCCACAATGACGTTACTCTGAACATCGATCACTAGAAATTCTCAAAAGGGAAGCAAAGAAACTCCATCAATTCTTTATTGAACATGTCTACAAGGTGGTTAGCAGTGCGCTGAGTGGTCTCACTCACTCTATCAAAGGCGGTTTCCACTTTTTCTATCAGAGCGTTGAGTTCATTTATATCCCAACTGATCCACAGACTCACCAAACATTGAGGGGTCAAATTATCACCACATTTTCAAGCAATTAAGAAACTATGATCGTCAGGAAACAAGGAGAAAATTCTCCTTAGAAAAATCAACCTTGGAATGCAAAAGAAAAATCCATGTGTTCTAACATGTTTCTTTCTCTGCAATTAATCTTAATTTCCTTTAATTTTGTCTAAGACCCAGGTCCGAGGAACAGCATTCATACAATGCTTTTTCACACATCATCTCTTGATGCAAAATGTGCAGGTGTAGATCAGACAGATCTAGAGTTCAAGATTGGTTTCACTACCTATGAGCTTGCTACCTTAAGTTTTTTTAACTTCCATGGCTATTATCCTAGCTGGCACGTGAAAGGTATCAATACAATATCTGTGAATAAATTTCCCCATTCTGAGCTTTGGTTTTCTGATCTATGAGATGGAGACCAATATTTACAAGACTGTGGTGCTGATGAGTTGATAAAAATGCTCCATAAGTAATAATAATTCCTTCCTCAAAACCCTTTCTCTACTTGGCTTCCAGGATATCACACTCTCTTGACTCTTCCCACCTCATGGCTCTTCCTCTCCATCATCGTCTTTGCTGGTTCTTCATCTCCCTGGCCTCAAGTCTTTGGGCCTTTATTCTTCTATACTGATGCCCATTCTCACGGGATCTCACCTAATCTTATGGCTTTAAGTAATTTCTATTAGCTGACAACTCCCAATCTGATATTCCCAGCCCAGATCCAACCCTGAATGCAGACATGTATCAAGTGCCTGTTGAATATCTCCTAGTGTTCAATCTTAACTTGCTAAAAACAAACCCTGATGTTCTGCGCCAACTCTCTTTTTTCTACAGTGCCTCCATATCTCAGTGGGTTAATGGCAAATACATTCTTATAGTTGTTCAGGCTGAAACCCATCAAGTCATACCTGATTTTTCCTTCTCATACCCCACATGCAATCCACTGGCCTTTACCTTTAAAAATATTACTGAAATCTGACGGCTCAACACCCGCATGACTATCAACCTCATCCAACATCATCTCTTGCCCCCATCACTGCAAACCTTCCTGCAAAAGTTCCTTTGTTGCAGCTCTTGCTCCCCTACAGGCCGTTTCCAGTACAGCACCCAGTGTGATCCTGGTAAACTGTGCATCTCATCTCGTGACTCTCGGGGCAGACACTGCTATTCATCATGGCTATCCAGGTTCCCAACCCTTGCAGGCTTATGGGCAGACTGGATAGTGCACATCTCCACACCCTGAAGCAACAAGGTGTTAACCAAGGAAGTAGGAGTGGAGGTGGTGTGTACCACCTTCATGTGGCAGCATCTCAGATGCTCGTGCTCAGCTCTGCACAGCTCTCTTCCTTTGTGGTGGAGTACAGGGAAGCAGGAATTTACACAGAGGCCCACAGTAGGTGTAGGATATTTATTAAACAAATAAATGAACAAAAAAGTATCTATCAAAATCATACCTTTAAAGGCTTGATTCATACAACAGCTCTTTCTTTTCAAAGCCTTCCCTTAGTTGGCAATAATCTTTCTTTGCCCATAATTCTCTGTACCTCTACTGCAGTATTTTCCACTACATCATACTTGTGTGTAAGTACAGCTCTTTCCCTGCCACCAGACCACGAGAGGCAGGGGATC